ACAACATCCCCATTGAGATCTCCTTCAGCTTTATCAGAATGTTATTGTTGTTGTTATGTGCCATGGAGTCGGTTCCGACTCATAGGGACCCTGTACAGGGTTTCTGATGCTGTAAATCTTTATGGGAGCAGAAAGCCTCATCTTTCTCCCGCAGAACAGCTGGTAGTTTCAAACTGCTGACCCTGAGGTTAGGCCGATTCATAACCTCTACGCTACCAGAGCTCCTTTTATCAGAATGTTGTTGTTAAGTGCCGTGGAGTCGGTTCCGACCCATAGCAACCCTGTATAGGGTTTTCAAGGAGCGACTGGTGAGCTTGAACCACCGACCTTGTAGTTCAAACAGCGTTGCAGTCTGGCGCATTAACTTACAGCACCACAATTGTTAGGTCTAAATCTGAGTCTCTATCCTCTAGCTCACATTTCTGTCTTGTCTGTTAAGAACAAATGATAATTGCCTTGATGGATCAAGATAAGCTATTAGGGGCTGTCCAATTACAATGGTGAAGTAGTGGGGGGCGGGGTGGGAGGAACAGAAATTTGGCTGCTGTTCAAGATCAAAGTTTAATATTTTCCTAAATGGCCACCGTCAGTCAACTAGAAACCTGTTTTGGAACTTGCCATGCAAGGATGGCAAATTATTCTGTTCTTTTCAGAATTTACCTTTGGGTAAAATAAAATACCAGTAGCTCTAGTGATGAAAATTGGTGCATCCCCCAACACAACATGTAGCATCAAGTCCAAAGTCCTCCCCATGACCACCAGCTGCTGCATCCTTGGCCCTAGGCCACCTTTCTGACCTCATCATCTGAATCCCTCACTCATCTATCTCCTACCACATGGATTTTCTTGCTTTTGCTTGAACACACTAAGCCAGCTCCCACCTCAGGGCTTTTGTGCTGGCTATTCTATCTGGAACGGGTTAGCCCCAAGCATTCCCATGGCTCATTCATCTCTCTGCTCAGCTCATCAAAGAGGCCCTCCCTGACCACCTTACCTAACACTCCGCATACCTTCTATTACTCTATCCCCTTACCTTGTTTTTATTTACTGCCACTGACTTGACATTTATTAATTTACTCTATCCCCAGTTGGGACACTATCAACACTGGACTGCAAACTCCAAGATCAGCAGTTCAAACCCACCAGCTACTCCTCAGAAACCCTACACAGGATTGTTATGAATCAGAATTGGCTTGATAGCACTTAACAACACAACATCCCCAGTTGAATATAAGTTCTGTGAGGATGAGAACTTTGTTCAACGTTCTAGCTCCACACCTGGACTAGTGCCAGGCACATGGTTTGTTGTTGTTGTGAAGTGCCGTCGAGTCGGTGCCGACCCATAGCGACCCTGTATAGGGTTTCTGAGGAGCAGCTGGTGAGCTTGAACCACCGACCTTGCAGTTCAAAAGGCCTTGTAGTCTGGCGCATTAACCCACATGGTAGGTGTTCAAAAAGTACTTATTGAACCGATGAATCAAGGACTTTCTCAGGACTCCAGGTGGACTCCCCGAACTATCCCTGACCTCAAACACTGTAGTTGGAGAGATGCCTTCTCCTGACTTTCCTGAGGGCTCTCTGCCTGGTGCCCTTTCTCTTCACTGAAGTCTTTGTCCTTGGTGGGAAAGAAAGAACGCCAGTATTCTCCTCCTGGTATAGCACTGCCTTCTTTAGGCTGAGAACTTAGCTTGCCTCTTCTTGTCCCTCTTCCAACTCTGAACCCAGGTTTTTTAGTATTAACTGTCTTTGAGTTAGCTCTGACTCCACGTGACTTCATGCATCACAGAATGAAATGTTGCCCAGTCCTGTACCATCTTTGTGATTACAGGTGTGTGTGAGTCCATTGCTGCAGTCGCTGTGTATTGTAAGTGACTTCCTACATTTCCCAGCACTATATTGGACAATATTCTAGTCTGGAAGGTTTCATTGGCTAATTGTTAGAAGTTGATTGCCAGGCCTTTCTTCCTGGTCTTAGTCTAGAAGCGCTGCTGAAATCTGTCCACTATGGGTGATCCTGCTAGGATTTGAAATGCTGGTAGCATAGCTTCCAGCATCATAGCAATATGCAACCACTGCAGTAGGACGAATTGGCAGATGGGTAGTGGGGACCTAGCTTTAAAAACCTTACTTTTATTTATTTTTCATCCTTTTAGTGTGTGTATTATTTTCCCTGGTCTCAGGTCTTTTTGAGGTTTACCCCTCCAAAAATCAAGAAAAAATTTGGTTTAAAGCTGCCCACCAGGATCGAATGTTCTTCTCTGATGCCCCAGCCCCTCCCCCCACTGTTGTTGTGACTCATTATGACCCTGTAGGACAAAAGGAGCTCTGGTAGCGTAGTGGTTACGAATCGGGCTGTGAGCCACAAGGTCAGCAGTTCGAAACTACCAGTGGTTCCGCAGGAGAAAGATAAGGCAGTCTGCTCCTGTAAAAATTTACAGCCTTGGAAACCCAGTGTAGGGGTCACTAGGAGTCAGAACAGACTCCATGGCACACAACAACAACAGGACACAGTAGGACTGCCTTCTAGGGTTTCCCAGGCTGTAGAGTCCTGGTGTGGCGCAGCAGGCTAATGTGCTGGACTGCAAGGTCGGCGCGAACAGCAAGGTTGGCGGTTCAAGCTCACCAACCACTCCTCGGAAACCCTACACAGGGTTGCTGAGTTGGAAGTGACTCAGAACCCACTAGACAACACTTAACAACAATCTTTACAGAAGCAGACTACCACACCTTTCTCCTACAAAGCAGCCTTTCCGGTTAGCAGCTGTGAGTTTCACCATGGTGTCACCAGGGCTTCTAACTCTAACCTTCCCCTCAAAAGCCTCTGGCCTCACCTGGAAGTCCTTGTCATCCTTTATCTCTGTTCCTCTCACACCTGCCACTCCCTACTCTCTATACCTGACACTCCCCAAGTCAGCTCTTCAGACCCCTTGTCCTGGCTCAGAGACCCTCACTGCTCACACTTGTTCCAACCCTATCTCCCTACCCCAGACACGCCTTAAGTGCTTCCTCCCTCCTCTCATCTTGAAAGGAGACAGCACACTGGCCTGGAGGATGAGGCTCATTCTCTTTATTAGGCAGCTGGAAAGGAGGTGGCCTGGCTCTGGAGAGAGAGGAAGGACACCGGCAGGCCCCCATAGAACAGCTGGCAGGCCCCCATAGAACAGCTGGCTCCACCTCATGGGTGATCAGAGACAAGAGGCACTCAGTGGACAGGAAAGGACAGAGCAGGCACCACAGGGCCTTCCTGCTGGAACGGAGAGCGAAGCACCTTTATTCCTTATCATCATCATCGTCCTCTTCCAGGGGAGGGCGGTTTCGCTTGAAGAAGCCCACCTGGGAGGACACAGGGGCCCGGGTCAGGGTTTTCCTTAGGCACAGAACATCGGTGGGGAAGGTATACTAGAAACTAGTCAGCCACATGATCCTCTCTTTGGGCTGGGTCAGACCACCACCCCACAACTTCATTTACAAATGGAAGTATTTCCCCATTTAGAGATAACGCATAATCGTGTGTGGGTGTTTTGTTTTGTTTTGTCCCACTCTTGCATTTCTCTTAAATACAGACTTAGATTTTTCTTAAATACATGGCTCTAGCACATGATGATACAGATTTGATTATAGTAAGTTTAACATGTGGTTTTCCCTAAAAGGATGGTGACTTCCCAGGGCTTGGGCACCTGAGCAAGTTCAGAGCTTCAGATGGAGCCCTGCCTGCTTGTTGTCCAGATGCCAAGGAGAAATGAACCCTCGGGGCCTCATAAGGAACAAAGTTGCTGTTGTTAAGTGGCAGTCAAGTCGACTCCAACTCATAGCAACCCTGTATAGGGTTTCCAAAGAGCAGCTGGTGAGCTTGAACCACCGACCTTGGGGTTCAAATCGATGTTGGGGTGCAGTACTTTATCCTACAGTGCCAAGGAATAAACAGCTGGGAATAAATCAAATGTAATCTTGTAAGATTACAAGGCCTGGGTTTCCCGTCCCAGTCAGGGGAAAGGACAGAGCTGGGAGGAAGTGAATCCTATCTTCAGCACTTCCAGAGTTCCTGAAGGCAAGGCTCATTCCTCTCAGGGCGAATCCCAAAACTGATAGTAACCTATAGAATAGAGTAGAGTTGCTCCATCAAGACTGTAATCTTTGCCACAAGGAGCTCTGGTAGCGTAATGGTTACGAATCGGGCTGCGAACTGCAAGTTCAGCAGTTCGAAACTACCAGCCTCTCAGCGGGAGAAAGATGAGGCTTTCTGCTCCTGCTCTGGTAGCGTAGTGGTTACGAATCGGGCTGCGAACCTTAAGGTCAGCAGTTTGAAACTACCAGCCGTTCCGCGGGAGAAAGATGAGGCTTTCTGCTCCCGTCAAGATTTACAGCTTCGGAAACCCTGTACAGGGTCGCTATGGGTCAGAACCGACTCAACAGCACTTAACAACAACAACAACAAAGATTTACAGCCTCGGAAACCCTGTACTGTACAGGATAGCTATGGTTCGGAACCAACTCGACGGCACTTAACAACTATCTTTGCCACATCTTTTTCCTGAGGAGTAGTTACAGTAGGATCGAACCGTGAACCTTTTGTGTTAGCAGCCAATCGCTTAACCATGGCAACACCAGGGAGGAAAGACTCCAAATGCTGTAGGGCTTGAAATGCCACCCTTCCCAGGACCATGTATTCTGGAGGAAGTTTCTGGAAAATGGCATTCTAACAGATGTGGAAATGCGGGTGTGGTAGACCTGGGTCACCTGCCTGCCTGCCTGTGAGGTATGGCAGGGCCTCGACTGCATCCAGCCTCACTCCATTTCATCCCTTACCTTCCACATGGCCAGGACCAGGGCTGTGAGCAGCAGCAGACCACCTAGCACGCCTACTAGAATCCACCAGATAGGAATGTCCCTCTCCTCCAAGACCCGGAGCAGCTGTGTCTCCACCTGGGGACAAACCCGCGTGCCTCATGAGCTGGTGGTGACACCTACACCTAAACTGGAACCTGTGAACTGGTGACCTGACCCACTGACTGGGCACTGCCATATGATAAGACTGATGGTCCTTCTTGCTGGCTTCAACTCCGCCAGCATCCCTGGTACTCACAAGTGCTTCCCCGCTGGGCAGGCTGAGGGGGGCCACCGCGTAGGGAAGAGCCGATACATTGAACCAAGCGTGGGACTGCAAGATAAACTGATCCAGTGGCCTCTGGATGGAGTGGAGGATTAAAGTCATTTATACCCACACGAGGCCTATTGGTTGCAAGATTACAAGCCCAGGCCTCCCTAGAAAGCCCTGTTAATGGGAGAATCCATCCTCCACCAAGTAAACCACGCCCTCACCCACACTGTTCCCTCGCTCCCTGAAGCCCCGCCTCTCCTCCCAGCAAATCCGGACCCCGCCTCCAATAAGCCCGCCCCTCGCAGGCAAGACCCGCCCCAGGGCCCGCCCTTCCGGACTATGACTAGACCACCTGGTGTAAACTGGGTAGCCAGAGTAGAGCCAGCACAGTGACCATGGCACGCTGCCCGCGCGCCATCTCCTGCAGCTTGCACTGTACTACAGTACAGGGTGCCGAATTGCAGCTCTGTGGGGACACGTCATCAGTCTTCAACCCCTCCTGACCCTTTATCCTCTCACCCCAAGGACCCAACACAGAGGGGTCCAAAGGGTCAGGGAGCTCCGGCCTCCAGCTCAGGAAAGGCCCCGCTTGATACATTACCTCTAAGTGGGATTGCTCACAGTCCCCGATGTGCAGGGAGAGGGTGGAAAGAAGCGGGTCCTATGGCATTAATTACCCAGAACTTTTTAACCACAAGGAGCCCTAGAGGCACAGCGGGTAAGCGCTTGACTGCTAAAAGAAAAGCTGGTAGTTGGAGCTAGCTGCTCTGCAAGGGCAGTTCTACTCTGTCCTCTAGGGTCACTGAGTTGAAAACTGACTTGATGCCATCAGACATCAGACTTGGTTTGTAATCTTGCTCTGACATTTTTTTCGAATGTATTGGGAACCTTAAAAAAAAGTCAGTGTCCTTCAACCCCCACCCTCCCCACACAAGCAACCTCGTGAACTTGGAGAACTCTGAGAGGCCCCACTCCCTTCCACCCTTCTGCCCTGGGCACCTGGAGCCCCAGCTGGAGACCACAGAGTCTGCTCACCACTAGAACTGGGTCCTGGAACCCAGACGGATGCTGTGCACCTGACCAGGGCTCCTGTCTGCGCTCCCGCTTGTGGTGGGCTGGGTAAACAGAGGACGGGCTGGGGGTGGGCAGCCTCCAGTCCAACTGGGGAGGCAAAGGAGTGGTCAGGCCTGTGTCTGTCCAGCTCCCACTCTCTGAGGTGCCTTGGTTGTTGGTCTGAGGATTCCCCACAGCTTTTTTCCGCCCCAGATCTTACCTTGCGAGGGTTGGGGGAGGGCTGTGTGGAGCACTGAAGACCCCCCTGGGGCTGCACATCCAGGATGTAGAGCAGGTCAGAAGGCTGGGACTGGCCAGGGAGGCGCAGGCTGAGGTAAAGGCCACGGACAGCACCGGGACCTTTGTTGTGGAGCTGGGGAGCAGGTTGGTACGTGGCTCAACACCCAACCTCAGCTCCCAGGATCCTCCCACCCAGCCTGGAGTCCATATGTATCTCCTCACCTCATAAGTATGCTCCACTTTGGGGCCCCAGCTGTCAAAGCTTTTCTCCTCCTTGTCACCTTCTTCAGCCGCCACCACCAAGGATGCTGGAAAGGAGTTCCTGCAGGTCCCCGAGTCCCCCAGGGTAAGCTTGACCCCTGATCAGCCTGTGAGGACTCTCTGCCACCCGTCTTATTCATCCCTAGTTTCTCACCCTCGAAGTTCCACATAGGCCTCTGCTAGGACGGGCACATTCAGGAGCACCATCTCGCTGTTTGGATTCTGGCTGTTCTTGCTGGAAACGAGTGGGTAAAGAAAGGCAGTTGAGGGGCACCAACCTGGGCAAAATTTCAGGAGATTCAGGGCAAGCTAATTCTATAAATAGCATGACACATTGCTGTTAGACCTAGGAAAGAATTTTCTCTAGGGCTCCAAGATCCCAAAACAAGTTTCTTTGCAGAAAGGGAACAAGGAGGCCTGAATAAGAGGCATCTCAAAAAGACTCTTCTGTCTTGAGAGTATCTGAGGGTTTCGACATTGGGGTCAAGTAGGGGGAAAGTTGTGGTAGGAGTGTTCCCCAGGCCAGTACCTCCTGATCTGCAGCCGGATGGACACAAACGCCCCAGCCTCTTCCAGGTTCCCCACACTCACCAGCATGGTGATTCCTATCTGGGCAATGAGGGCCAAAGTTATTGCCCAAATACCCACTCTGGGCAGCCCCACCTTGAAAATGACCTCCAGTCCTTACCTTCCAAGGTCACTATTACCATCCAGTTTACCCAGAAGCCCACTCAGACAAGAAGTCATTCACTTCAGAATAGGTAGCTTGGGAATGTGAAGTCTAGGAGCAATTTCCACCTGACCAATCTGACTCCAAGCCCAGCCCCGAAATCCCAGCTTTCTGTTGACGAGCTCCTGGTAGAGCAGACCCAGCCCTGGGCTCCCATCCTCACCTGAGCATCTTTCTTCATGGGGTTGCCCAGCTCACACAGTACCACCTTGCTCTCATTCTCCTTCTTCTGGTTACAGATGAGCCTTTCAAACCCCTTCGGGAGGCAGTTCCAAGAAAGAAGATGGTTACAAAGCATCCTGTATATACTTGTATTTATGCTCTCTTAGAAAGTCGGCAAAAACTCATGCGCTAGCGTGGGGAGTGGGGCCTCTTAGGGGTAACACTTCAAGGGACTGTCTTGTTCTACTGTATGTACTGCAGTAGCAATTTATTTGTTTAGATTAATTTTCCAATGATTTTTAGAAATGAAAGAAAACAGTACATATGCAGGGGCTTCGAAAAGTTCATGGAAAGAGTCCAACATATTGTAATTCCACTTTTCTATGAAATTTTGAAGCCCCCTCATAGAGTAGGACCTCATTATTTTAAATCGTATCAGTAAAGTAAGAAATAAATATGTCAGCTTTCAATGCCAAGAAAACAGACTGGAAGGAAATGTTAACATTTGGTTCCTGTGTTTTGGTTTTATAATACAGTTCTTGAATTGCATGCCATTAGCAAATATTCCTTTTCCAAAAATAAAAATTATATATATATATGACTCATGGTGTGGCACTATTTGTAGGATCAGCATGGGACCCCACAAGGTCAGCAGTTCAAACCTACTAGCTGCTTCTTGGAAAACCTATACAGAGTCGCTATGAGTTGGAAC